GTGCTTACATCCTTGCATACGGATGACAGCTGCGTATGATTTTTCTTCTGGTGCTTCACTTCAAGAGACAGTTGTCAGCGCTGAGTAACTGCATCGGGTGCTTTTGAACACAATGTGGTGCGATCATCCCCCTTGCGCGGAGTGAGGGTTCTCCACCCCGCACAACATGCTCTACTCGACCACCATTATGGTTACCGCCACAAAAAAAAACAGAAAAAAAAAAACGGTATCCTGGTTGCCGAGTTCACGAAGTGAATTAGCTTGTTTCTCAACGGGGGGGGCTAAAACTGATGCATCATCCGTGAATCGAACACGGGTCGCGTGAATGGCAATCGCGCACTTTGCCACTGAACCAATGATGCTACCAAGCTACTAGGGGGTAGGGGACAACTTACACAGAAGAATTACTTGATGCAAAACATCTAACAGCGAAAACTGCCGGCCCACGATTCCCCCTTGCCACACTGCATTCTGTCGCCGGTAGCCAAGCGTTTCCCCCCTCGGATGACAGACCACACACCCAGCGGAGAATGCAGCTACTCATTGCAGACGGTGTGTGGGGCTTTGGGGCAAGGAATCGTTTTTTGCGATACTATGCCTGACACGATAGGAGGATCGGGGTGGAAGGGACTACATCGCGACGGCGCGCGCTAGCGACAAGTGCAACGCAAGTTTTGCAAGAGTTCACCGAAGAGGGAAGACAACAAACGACAATCGAAAAACCTTTACCCCTCGAGAGCCACGAATCGGGGGTTGCCGACACGGGGGACCGTAGGAAACGGCCGTGGTCAGCGATTGGGGATCAAATTCTCCAACACGACACAAGCATCCCCGTTCCCGGGAAAACTGCGTGCTCTGAGAGGCGTTGGTGTTCCCGCTTAAGAGCGAAGCACTCTCAGAGACTCGAGGGATATTTCCTTAGGGTCCAGATAGACAGTTGTGTAGCAAGGCCACGGCAAATCTCTGAGGTAGCTCAATACTTCGGCAAATGCTTACGTTCACGGGGAGGAAGGGCGGGGGGGGAGCTGGAGGCGGGCGTTCTACGACATTCTCGTGAAATTGCGAATGGAACATGCATCAAATCATCAACAACGTCACCGGTTCGTACCTTCGGCGCCGACCAAGAGGGGGGTGAAGGGCGGGTGCTTGAGCAAAGAGCGGTTAACGCCTGAGTCGCAAGCCCTTTGTTTCTTCCCTGTGGTTTCCAGCGACCGTAATGCGAGAACGCGCGAGACTTGTATAAGAACCTCGGGTGCCTTTCTAAGTCCCTAGGGTCTTCGATGTTTCGGTTTTTCGAATGATTGCGCCCGCACTGGTCGCCCCGGTGGTCTAGTTGGTAACCTCGAAACCTTCTCGAGGTCAGGTCAGGGGTTCGAATCCCGGCGTAAGCGAGCTTTTCTTGCAAAGTGGGTTTTTCTCTCGCTTCCGCTCCTGGCCTAGACTAGTGGATAGCGCTAGTTCGTGTTTACACAGAGGGAAGAGAGTGCTGAACTCTTCTCGCTTAAAAAAACGAAGGCAAAGTACCGCAGGAGGGGAGGGTAGAGAGGGGCTCTTCTGTGTGACCACGGGTTGGAGTAAACGGCACCAGTGCCGTGAGCGCTGATTTGAAGTTAAGACGAGATAATAAAAAATAGGAGCCGTGGAAGCGAAAGACGGCGTGAGAGAGGCAGGACACTCGAAACGTGCCCAAAACGGATGGGTAGTCCTCCCGATGCCCCAACATTTCCCTGCTTGTACCGTGCCAAATGAAGGACGGGCGAACCCCAAACAACATGGGCTCTGCAATAACTCACCAACATCTTGGCGGCTGCGCTGCCGCAAGGCATGTCAAGTGCATGCGGTTGCTCGGCTGAACCTGATCCCTCTGGCTCGCAGAAGAGGTTTGCCAAGGCTGCACAGGCCAGGTCCTGAAAGGGTACCGACGAGGGTGGGAAACGTTGATTGGTATTTGAGCGTCAAGTTCCGCCAAGAATTGAACACGCACGACGACTGTGTAGGCGCTTTCTACCTTGTGAGGAATATGAACACTTTGGAGAAGGGATAGGATCGTCCACGCATAGGACTCGGTCATCTAGACGAAGGTTGGTCATAGTTTGAACAGGCACGGGGTGGGCTGGACAACGTAGAAGATCGTAGGACCGAAGGGATGCGAATGGCGGGTTTGCCCATGTGAATGTCGGGTTCGGTGACGAGGTCTTGAAGGGGTGAGGTCGGCAGCGGCATTCTCAACGGCAACATGATGGCGCGACAGCAGGAAAGGAAGGTATTCCAGTTACGCGTGTGGCACACAAGTCTCGAGCATCAAAAGGAAACATGGGATTGCTCACTTGCAACATGGAGTTGCCATGCTCGCGAGCGATGATGCTGAGAAGCACCTGTCCCGTCCGACCGTCAGAAAAGGCAAGCCGGCCAACCGTGTCAAAGACATTGGCTGTGATCTCTACGAGACCCCGAAGCGAAGCTACCGCGGCGGCGGTATGGACCTGACCATAGTCACGGCAAACGACGACAGACTTCAGAACCGGTCTATCCAGAGGTAGTTTGATAAACCGTCCTCGCATTGCAATTTGGGCCGGAGATATCATCAAGGCACGGAACCCACAGAAGACCCAAACACTGTTTTCACGATGGCGCTGGCAAAGCTTTGAGCGTGGTTGGTTCACACTTCCACATGAAAATTATTGGTTTCCGCCCATAACTAACGCCAACCCTAGCTTGGAGACACGTGGCGTAATATTTTTGAGGAAGCGACTCGGCTACCGACTGGCGTAAGGAAAAAAGGTCGATTTCCCCTCTTCTCGTGGGAACGATCCTTTTTCCTAACAGTCCAAGAAAAGTGTTCCTGCGAAATTCGCTCGACTTAGGTGAGAGCAACTAGAGGACATACCAGTACGAGCGCACGCTCGTCAGGCGGGTGACGCGACGTGTTCGAGGTCGACCGCTTGACCATACCATTTTTCGTTCCACATCCAGCACCTTAGATTCATTGGACACTCGCAAAAGTGTTTCCAGGTCCCCTCACCGGTCCGTTAATGACCGCCTTGGAGACACCACAATCCACCACTGTCGCGTCGAACAATCGCAGGGCCAAAGACAGCGAGCGCCCTCGTGCGATTACCGCTGTCCGCATCGGCGCCTTTATTTCGTCGTTTTGCGACGCCCGGTGGCTATCTGATCCCCTTACGCTGGCGTGAGGGACGCCGATGACATCCGGTTGCAGATGGAACACGCGAAAAATACCTCCCCAGCATTCATCCTTGCATGAAAGAGGCGGGAGGCACAGCAACATGTGAGCAAGAGGACCTGTCAAGTCAGGTCTCAGGACCGTGTGAAGCATAAGCCGGATGATGTACTATCGGAAATGCGTGACATTCCTCGGTGATCGGCATGATACTGAGCAGAGGTCTGCATGATTTGACCTCAGGTCTTGCCGGTCTGCCCAATACCGAGGTCCCTTTCTGCCCAATGAACGGAGACCTGCAAGTACTGACTTCTCTGAACCTCTTCATTGGTCCTAGCTGAATTGCGAGCCGCTTGAAGTCGACTTCGCGAGTCAAGCATCGGTCTCTGCGAGGTAGCAAATCTACGGTACAGCACCACCTTCTTATGGACGGACTGACCTGCCAAAGTACATCTTCCACGGCCCTGCAGGCCAAGCCATAGCAAAGGATGGAACGAGGTTCCAAAAACGATACAACTCCGCCGATGATGCCCTGCATGCAGACGGGCCAAACATCATGAATCGGGAATAGGCTCATTGGGTATGTAGAATATTTCGCATAGAGCGAGAAACTGACGGGTGGATTCGATGCGCGGTGAGGGCAAGATGATTGATTGCTCTCACACGTTACCAACAATCAACTTGGAGACATTGCCCCCAGGAGGTTCCTATTGCTGTGTGGCGACGACAGCCAATACAGATGGGCAGTACTGCATCATGCATGCGTGGTGTTCACCCACCAGCGGCATACAGTGTAGTTGACGAAGATGGGGCAGGCTTCGAGTGGATTCCTCGCCGTTACAAGACTTGTCCTTGGGGGATCGCGCTTGGTTTCCCGCACGATCATCACCACTGCCACCGCCGCTTTCACTGCCACCGGCTTTGCTCTCGGCGTGGCTGGCAAATTCGATGATTTTGAGGTCATTGGTGGCCTCCTGCAGCCGTGAAATTCGTCTCTGGATCTCGCGCTGGTCGGCTTGCGACGCTGCGAGGGCGGCCTGTGTCAGTACGTTGGGTCGTGGGAGGGTGAACCCCACAGCGGCAGTGGCATCAGTGCCGTGTGATGTTTCAACGTGGATGTTTCGAAGCAAAGTTCGTCGCGACGAGAGACAAACCTGGCTACTTGTACAGTATTGTGCGTGTCTCGAACATGAAGTGCAGCGCTAACCTTGCTGGCCGCAAGCCATGCTCGTAGGCCTACTGTGCCGGTGGTCTTGCCATTCGGGCTGTTGCTTGCCAAGCTTGTTGGTGACTGGGCTGGGTCCACTTGGTGAGCGTTGACTCTTTCATCGACCTTCACAATAACATCGACTTCCTCCTGACTGTTGCCAAGGTCTGACACAGGAGCAAGCTCCTCCGCCTTTTTGGTAACATTCATGGCTTTGATTGGTTGCCTCGCAGTGGATCTGCGTGCACGCGCGGACGGCGTACATACAGTCGCGTTTCGGTCCCGCCGCATGTTCCTGTCTGAGACGGTTTCATTCCGGTTCGACTTCCGTGCGTCGCACATAACGCCTTTTCCGTGCTTTGTGTCTTACAGCAGTACCCCCTCTCAAACAATCCATGAAATTATGCACATGTCAGTACGATTCTGCCCCAAGCAATCTTGAAGGTGTGGATACTTGACGGGGATTGTGCGGCATAGCATGGATCAATCGTTCAAACTCTCCGATGGCTACAGGAATTGGACTGCATTCGTCGAAGAGGTATCCATCTGACGCCAGATATTTTTTCACTGGCACGATATGTATTCTAAGTGCGGTATTGCATTGCGGTAGTACTGCGGATATTCAGTCAATATTTCAAGGCGACCTTGTTGTAGCCAAGGCAGATTGTGCGTTCAACTCCCACCCCGACTTGCTTTTGCGTTGCAACAGTTTCGTAGAATAGAAGAATCGCTGCAGGAGTCCAAGCGATTGGAGCGGGTCCTCGTTGCCCAAGTGAGTGCTTGAATCGTGGTGGCCAAATGTATATATGATTTTTTTTAATTCGTCGTTCTGCTATTGGTGCATGGTTGCTGTTTGTGTTTGGTCCATTTGTGTATCTTCGCAGTACACCACCCTGTCAATCTCAGTGAGATGACACTCTTTCACAGTGCCAACTGCGCTGCAGTAACAACCTCCCCCGTAAGAATCCAATGGGCAAAGGACAAATTGCGATGCATGCCACCCGTGGCGTAAGAACAGAAGCAGCGCTGGTACAGTCCACGCAGCACGTTCAGAACAGCCTTGCCATGTATCCTTGAAGGAATTACGTTGTGGTTCTCAGCTTTACGGCAATGCTTCATCTGGCATGCACGATGCCTGTGTTCAACCATGTGCGTGTAAGGAAGGTTTTGAGTCGGTCGGTGGGTTGGAGAAATAAAATACTTTCGGCATCCAGTAGCACGGCTCACCTCTTACCCCCCTTTCTGCTTGAACCTCTGACCTGGGAACGAGTCCCTTCGTTCCGTTTGGCGCTGTCGTACTCTTCGCGGCGGTCTTCAGTGTAATCAGCTAAAGTCCGAGCTTGTTGCCAGCGGTGAGTGCCTAACCACATGACCCCCAGCGTCACACGTGATAAATGAATTGCATTGACTATGTTCCAGGTGAGGTCTACCCCACAACGAGTTCGGAGTACACAGGCTATATCGTCATATTTTCGTCGTTGTTGCTGCTGCTTCACATGCCGCTGGTAGTGTTCGGTGGTGCTGCTTGGTGGCGGGCCTGGCGGTGATTATTTGTTGTCAGTTGGTGGCTTTGGCCGTGACGATCATCACGCTCCAACGGAAATAATAGTGTGCGCTTGCTGTACCTTCGCGCCCTCCGTTGTGAAGATTACCAGGGAAATATTCGCTCACGTGCTAACTGGTCGGGTATTTTGATCTCCGAGCCCGCTCGCCTCGTCTACATGTTGTCTTCCATGTCAAACTTTGCTGGTTGCCGTTGGAAAGGAAACAAACTACACACGGTGATGAGCGTGCGCGCAGAGGACGAAAGGACCATGGCTCTGCTGCGAAAGGTACTCAATGAACTCACGAGAATTGCTGGGAGAAGAGAAAGTTGGGAGGAGGAGTCATGAATGCATGCTTTGGCTTACTGTAGATCATTCTGCTGAGGAAAAATCAAGACATGAAGTAGGGTTTGATTCCACTTCCTGAAAGCAATGATCGGAACGTTGCCAGGATTTCTGAGGAGACAAAGTGCATGTGTGTCGACCAACTAAACAAGAAGGCAGTGTTTCACAACACTCCGAAGATTTCATTCTTGTGGACTAGCGACATCCTTGCGTCACCGGCACCACGGTAGGTGTTTCCCGACATGCGATCCGTTCGTTCTTTTGGGCCACGCTCCCCACAGGAGTGCGACCAATCGATGGTTACCTCGATGGAGGCGAAGATTAAGGAAAAGCAGGCCATGACGCTCGTTTCGGGGCTACAGGCGGACATCGAGGCCCTGCAAGCCCAGGTGATCCGATCGGCTGACTCGAAATCAGGAAACCGCCACATTCCCATAAAAGCCATAACGGGATTCACCCCGCAGACAGACACATGAAGTCTCAGAAACACCTATAAACACGTGTCACCTTCTCATAGCTGTGTCCCATCGTTGCCCACTGCCGAAAGGTTGGGGTCCTCCAGAGCGCTCTCTGGTTAGAGAAGGAGCGAGCTAGCACGGCTGTCAGAGTCAGCAGGGGCGCGACCGGCCCGTCCACAAGAGGCGGGACGTCGAAGGCGGCACCGACGATGTTGAGCTCTGCCTCGACGGCGTCGGCAGCAGCGGCAGAGGCGACGGCGGTCGCATCCGCGGTGCTGGCGAACAGCTCAAGCCGCGGAGGTGGTGGAGGATTTGGCCCGTCAGGGAAACGAAGAAATGGCGTCCCCTTGAAGCGGATAGGGGAACGAGGCGGCCGTCCTCGGCCGGCAACAGCACCAGCGCAAGACACACAAGATCTTCGAGGGAGACTCCCTCGCGACAACGCCGGCGGTCTCTCCGGTAAGAACAAGCTCTGGGCGGGAGGGGTGGGAGGCAACTGCAGCAACCAGCACCTAGACGGTGGCCGTGCCTTTCTCGTCAGTAAGCGGGAGGGTGGTGCGGGTAACCCAGACGGCACAACGGCGACTGACGGGTCGTTCACTGAAGGTCGGGCGTCCAACGACTACTTCGACGGCGGCGGCGGCGGCGGCGGCGGCGGCGGCGAAAAGAGCCCACAAGACTACCAACAGGAGCGGAGTATAGAAAAGTTCGTGCTCGATCTAGACGGCTGCAGAGGATATGCTGCTGGTGGTGGTGGTGGTGGTGGTGGACCCGGTGGCGAGGTAGAAAGCTGTTGTGGGGGGCAAACGACTATCACCCCGTTCCAGAGATGGAAAAGAGAGAGAGGAATTGTCTCGCCGGGAGTTGCCGAGATGTTTGGGGAGCAAGGGTGTTGTTCCTGACCGCAAAAGCTGGCGCGGACACGATGTCTCTGTTCTGTTTGTTGAAAGTCTCGCGGGTACAGAGCGTGAGGAAAATCGGCGGTGCGAGAAAGAACCTTCGAAAGGGCCGTGATAGACTACGTAGCCCCAACGACATTGTTTCAAGTGATCAAGATCATCAACAGCAACAAGAAGCCAAGTGTTAGATGTTGACATTCCGGCCGCCGGGATATCAAGACGCAGAGAGCTCTGCTAGTTCGGTCGCCTTCCATATCGGCACTATGAAGCAAGAAGAGGTCAGAGATCAAAGACGATGGTTAAACCATCTGGCAATGATCTGCTGTGTTTGGCATCCCAGTCGCTATGCACAGACGACCCATTCCGCTCGGTGCGGTGGTCTAGATCTATTCTGACAGCCATTGATTCAGCTTGGCGCACACCCTGGAATCTGATACTACCGCTGGTAAGACGGTTGCCCATGAGAGGGCGTTCACCGCCAAGGCAGGCTGATCCAAGCTGTAAGACTACAAAAACGTGACAATTCGAACGGCTGGCGCCGAAGGACACGGCTCAAACGGCGCCTAACCCTGAAAAATCGCAGACCTACGGTTCCAGGAACCGTCTCAGATCTACCGACGTTGGGGGAGTGGCGTTCACGCTGACGCAGCAGTACTTCGAGAATGTAGCGCCACAGGCGGACTAGCCGAACAATACTCGTTATTTCATTAGAATGGGTGTTCCTTGGGAGCTTGCTGAAAGCACGAAAAAACACGATGAAACTATGGTACGCGAAGCTACAAGACTTAAGCAATCCACGGGTAAAATACGCTGACGATCGTCAAGAATGGGTGCTCCTTGGGAGCTTGCTGCAAGCACGAAAGAACACGATGAAACTATAGTACGCGAAGCTACAAGACTTGAGCAATCCACGGGTAAAATACGCTGACGATCACCAAGCAATGTAGACACGCCTGTTGGGTCTCGAGATGGGGCTCTCCAACCAACCATAGGAAGCCCCCCTCTCCCATCGTGCCAGCAACGACGAAACAAAACCTTGAGCGAGGATGCCCTCAACAGCACACAGCTGTGCCATCTTCGTGGCACAGAAAGCTGTCAAAACCGGCCGCGCTCCGCCATTCTGTAGGGTGCATGCCTCGCTGGCGGGGGGCACAGAATCTCTCCGTAAGAAGTTCCGCTCGTCATCATGTCGCTAAGGTTTGTCCAAAGTCATGTACATAACTCGATCCAGCCCCATTTCAAGAAACCTAATGCCGCCACTGCCCTACGAATGTCCCATATCCCCCCGCCAAACAACAATGGGGCAAGTCGCCGTGAACAGGAATTCCGCATCGAGAGGGTGGCATTATACCATGGCATTATTTCCCCAAGAACTCGCTGTTTTCGGTGAACCCAAGTGGGTCTCCGCAATGATCGTTGGTCCACACCAATTTACCTTGCACTCAGAAAAGCCGACGATGCAAGTGTCACAACAACGGCACTTTCCTGCGCCAACATCACAACCCTCACTCTCTCCATAAAGCACTTCATATCCCGCCACAACACTTTCCCCAGGGACAAGGGCAAATAAAACACGTTTCACCCTTACAACCACCGCGATCCCTCTACTCCATGGAGCGGTGCAAGTCCAACTATAAGGCCACTAACTAACGTAAACTGTTGGAAGCTCTAGCGACCACCGGTACTTACGTCCATACAGCAACACGATGTTTTTACCCCTAACAAAACGGTCCATGTGCCAGCATTCCTGATAGAATCCAAGGGCGGCGGAAAACAAACAAGCGACACTTGTACGTCATTCTTCACACTGTTCGCCGCGTTTTGCCCGATACCAATGCAGGCAGGAGGCAGGCAGCCAACAAAACGCGCCAAGCAGATTTTCCCCATAACACACATTTTTCCAAGGCGGGGGCTGGAAAAGCCACCAACTCAAAACATATCACGCCCGGCATGTTACAGCAGCGCGCGGAGCTTGCGCATGCGCCGACGATGAAAGAGAGCGGCCACATTTTCGGGAACGGAACGTCAAATCAGATCGATGTCTTGCCCTTGTAGCGATGCTGGGGTGTCGGCAATGATATCGACACCCCTCGACACTGAAAGACGCCTTACGCGTAACATTCTAGCTACCGGCAACGTGATGCGCTGACGCCACAGGCCCCCAAACAAGTCAGCAGCTCGTTTTCCCTTCTCGAAAGGAGCAGCAGCAAGAAGCAGAAACGGCATCGACGACGACGACGATGGCGACGATGGCGACGACGGCAACAGCAGTTTGCGGTCGCTGCCCTCCCTCTACTCACCCACCACCTCCACCGCCGCATTAAGCGAACGCAGCCCCTGGCTCCTCCACCATGTTCCACAACAGGAAGTACCCCCTCCTCCCCCTCTCCCCCCCCCGCTCTCTCTCTCGGTTGACTTATTCATCCCACACTATCAAGCGAGTTTGGCCCAACAGAACTCCTCAACAAGGCCCACAAGCCTTGCCGTCACCAAGGAAACACAAAACCAACACTTGAACACGAATATCCACCCCAAACTTTAAGCCCCAGCTGAGGAACCTACACGCCTGTCTCGACTCTTTGTGTTCCACCTGTAGGAGTCAAGTTTAGAACCACCTTGTACCCTGCGCGGGGAGCCACGTCCCCGTGGCCGGGAACATCCCCCCACCCATCGGCAGAACATCATCTGGCCCCCCATGAGGACACGGTGGCCGACATTGTGTGTTCGCTCGTTCCATGAAAAGAGTCATGGTGCAATTTATCTAGCCACAGTAGCGACGAATGCTTCTCGCGCTCAACCACCTTGCCTCGGGAAAAAGAAGGCACAAAGAGTGCAGCACGAAGAAGCCGAAACGTTGGCGCACAAAGTCTCATCAACACCACAAAAACGAAGTCGACGGCGGCCGAGGTTCACGCCCCTCTCCATAGCGACACATCTGGCGGAAAGCGTCCAACTCTGAGGCCAATCCCCTCGCGCGGGGGCACGCAAACAAAAGGGTGTACCACACTCTCACGCTCCAAACAGCGTGACAATACTTTAAAAAAAACGAACAGATTAAACGTAATGCAAGCCGTTCATATTTACACATGCGTCGAGGTCATGTCAGCCTCGTATGCGCAAACCCCAAATTTTCATTCTGAATTCGACCCAAAAAAAATCCCCGTCTCTTCTCCCACTTCCTTCAAATAAACGTTCAGCGCTCTACTCACGGCGCCAAAGACCTCAAAACCCGCACCGTAAACCGTGTACCAGACCGCCACTCAAACGCAGAGGGTGCTTTCCGATAGCGTTCTCCAGCGGACCAACGGAAGCACCGACAGACGGCGCATTATCCAGCCCAAGATAACCATTCAAAATTCAGTTCCCACACTCTCCGTGGTGCCGTATTTCACTGGCAATGCGAAGGCCCTCCATGCCCAGCGGGCTCCCGCCGAAACAAAAAACACCTCCACGTGACACCTGCAGGAACGCCCGGCAATCCGCACAAGCAACGCAGCTTTGTCCCGTTCCAAAATACTTCTCCTCGACTCAATTCAACCAAACAGCATGCGCTGGTTGATCTATTCGGTGGATGACGCTTGACGTTGTCCGCCGTCGATACGCCGACGTCCAGCCACGTGCAGCGCCGGGAAACGGAGCCGCTTCCCTTTACACTTCGTCCTCCCCGTGAAGCCGCGGGCGCGCGCCTGCAACCAACCGCACCACGTGCCGTTCTAGCCGTCCGATCCACAGGCAAGTTTCGGGACAAAACACAACCGCAGTCGCAGCCGGCTCAGCTTCTTTCACACCGACCCACATCTCATCCCAGCAACAACTCCGAAGAAGGCATTTCATTTCAGGGGGAGTAACTCAGTCCTCTTTCTTGCCGTTGCCGCTGCTGTGCTTGATGCGGAAGCACTGGATGTCCAGATGCCAGCAAATGTCAGAGATAGCCCCGCTCACATACCGTAGGTACGACGCCATCGCGATCCCCGAGCCCAGATACAGGGCCTTCTCTGGGTCCATGGGGGACGTCTCGCCGATCCTGTCCGGGGGGCAAGAGACAAAGCATGATGGGTTGGAGGTCAGGCGGGGAGGGGGAGGGGGGGAACGATATCTCTTTTCAAGCGCCGTGTATTCGAGAAGGTGTACTACAGAGATGGCATGAGGAGGTAGGTGAGAGAGAGGTGGTGTGTCTTTCAAGTGCCGTGTTTTGGGATTGGTGGCGATGAAGTGTACTGTAGACATGGCATGAGAACATGAGAATGGCGCGGCGAAGAGAGGTGCAGGGGGTGTAGTGTTGTGCTTCAGACTTTTTTCTACATCATCAGCGCCGTGCCGAGTTTCCAAGCCTGGCATGGCGACAAAGAGGCAAGAGCATTGTACGAGAGTCAGGTTGCCAAGGGTAGAAGGACGGAGGGGGTGCTCGGACCTCGTGTACGAATGGGTACCAGCGATCGCGCTTGTGTGGCGAAAGAACGAGAGAAAAAAGCAACGATGGCAGGTGGGAGGTGCCGTCGAACGTTGACCTGGAAAGGAGGTAAAACGGGGCGGTTTTCGCGTCTGTGTAAAGCTCGGCATTTTTTACCGAAATTCGGTACGCCCACTCATGTTCTTTTGTCTAAACGCGTCGAGAAACCCATGTACATCGGGGTGTCCCAATAACCGCCTGCAATCAACATGGGTGTTCTGCCTCGTATGAACACAAAGGGAGTGCTTTTGCCTATTGTTGTTGATTGCCTATTATGGCTTGTGGAGGAAGGCGAGGGAGTTGGTATGGGGAAAACAAACGCAAGTTTCATCCCATGTCGAGAGAAACGAACGCACGCACACCAACACACACCATCACACACAAGGCTTCCTTACCCCAGCGTTGGCAAGTAGACGTTAAGGGTCACGGCGGCCAGGACGAGGAGAGACGGGCACGTCACGTCCTGCAAGGACAGTGCCGACTTGGCCATGTGGTGCACGATCATTTGGCTCTGCGATCGGCAGGATTTCCAGAGACGCGGCGGGAAGCGCTAGCGGTGATGCAAAAGAAAGGGTAGAGCGATAGCGGCTAGAGTACGCATAGGGTGCACCCGATGTTGGGAGCGCTGTGTGCAAAGTGGGATCATTCTGTGTCGCGTCAAGCTAACCAGCTAGGAATGCGCCTGCCCACACACTGGCCGTCATTGTGGCCCCGCGAGAGGGGGAAAGGGCTTCCCCTTGAGCTTCTGCTTACATTTCTGGAAACACAAACGAAAGCACATAAGAGCGGTCATTGGCGCGAACACTCATGGAAGGCGAAACAGCGACGGCGGCTGATGTAGGCCAAGAGTCATTGCCTCCACTTTCTCTCACCGTGAGGTGCGTAGTGACCGTCCCGAGCATGAATAGCTGCAGCCCCGTGTGCTTCACGAACACCGGCAAGGCGGGCCCCATGGAGAGTGCAACGCCTAGACCCATCGCCGCCGACATGGCCAGCAGCTGCAGCACTCCCGGGTACACTCCGATCTAAGACGGGGCAGACGCGGGGGATACGAAGATTGGTAAGAGTATGTTCTCGACACGCCGAGCAACTCGCTGAGAACAGCAAGAGAGTGTCCGCCAAAATCCGAGCAAATCGCGCGGAAAACCACGGCCGGGGCTAGCACTTCGATCAGTCGGAGCACATAACGCGTTCTGGTAGATGCACGGCCGTCAACAGAACAAAGCTGATGCAACAAGACTTCGGACTCCTCTCGCCCATCTTCCCTCCCTGGCGGCCTCGACATCTACCTGTACCCCTACAGCATTAGCCCTCGACAGAGGCCCACCCTTTATTTTGCACCGTGTTCGACTACGAGTCAAGGGACTGTCTCGAGACCTGAAGATTTCGTTACTTGGCTAGCCTCCCCCAACTCCTCCACACACGCGCGTGCGTTCTGATCCCATTATCCTCAACTCCCTTCCCTTCCCCTCCCTACACGCTCACGTCCCCACGAGCTCGTCGATACCACAACGGGAAAAAAAAAAAAAAAGCGAAAAATACTCCGTTATTAAAATGAGAGTGTCATTCACTGCAAACACATACCCCTTTGTAGCCCCTCGTGAGACCGCCGACATTCTTACCCCGACCGTTCTCACCGTCTTCAGTCCCCTCTCTTCCTCGGGCAGATCCTCCGGGCGACTGGCCCAGACCCTCCTGATGTTGGAGGAAACCATAGCTACAGCCGGAGGAATAAGCGCCCACACCATGGCCTGCAGCACACTCACCCTCAAGTCCGTCCCTGGCAGTGTTACGGCTGCCGACCAAATGTCTTGGCCTGCCAGCGGGCGGCAAGGGCGGGGGGGGAGCGAGGCCTTAACAGCGTTTGCGCTTGGAGGAGGGGGGTGAACACGTACACACCGCCCACGCGTACGTTGTTGAGCTTTCATGATCATCAGCTACACCATGGCTTTGCCCAATCTCGGAGCGCCCGAAGGCAGCTACCCGCAGTAGTCGTGCAGGCTGGATATCAGCGGCATATGGCAAGGTGCACGCCTCTACACTTAACAGCACACCAGCGAAAACACCAGCAGCGGCGGCATCAGCAGCAAACACCAACAATTGCACAGTAGCACACGCGCCACATCGCTCACCAAAGAAGGCCGAGATCACGAAGAGCCCCATCTGGATGAGCTGCGACTCCGTTACGCCCATGTAACCGTTGGACCAGTTGAGCGTGCCCGTGTGGTACTCCTCCCACTGAGCCATGTAGAACACGCCTTCCACGATACAGAATAGGATCATCACGTTGGGCGTCGGGCCTACTTCCAGCGTGGCGCACATCGCCACGAAGCAGAGCACCTGAAGGACGCGGGATGGATGGATGGTGGATAGATGGCTGCATTCGGTCTTGTGTTCATGAAGGTGCCCGAGCTTGGGTCGACCCACACGTGTTGTGATCGCGGGCCCAAGCCACGAGTCGTCAGGAAACAGCGCTGGTTGACGTTTAACTGTCTGTCCTTGTCGCTCTTCTCTCTTTTTTGCTCTCTCCGCCTCTCTGTCTTGTTTGCTGTATTTCTGCCTCGCAGTCTCTCACCGATTCTTTCCTCTCTCTCCCCCTTTCTTCACCTTCCATACTTCCATCGTTTGTGTTGATGTACTCGTTCATTTCCGGACACTCAACAACAAACCAAACAGGTTATGAGAGCGATTTTGTGTACCGGCATCTGAATTGTCTGCTAAGACTGTCAGATTTCGGTAATCCGAAAATGTAGTTTGGCACATACTTCGCCACCTTTTTTGGTACATTGGTCCTCTGGGATACAGCAGGTGTGCCTCCAAAACTTGCGCAGCTGCGAAGCAATGCCACGCAGGAAAGCCCTTTGCTCTGCTGCTTTGCACCGGTCAACCCTTTCGCGCCTGTATGGACCCAAAACGGTCCAGTTATCTGGCGGCGGGTCTCATCGAAGTTCAACTTCTCCAACACACGGAACATTTCTTCTGCAATTTTCGGCACTCCAACAAACCCCCTCTCTCACCTTGACGGCCGCATCGCAGCCGTGGTCAAAGAGCTGCCCGAGCGGGCTGGAGCTGTTGGTTCTCCTGGCCTGCTTTCCGTCGATGGCGTCCAGCGTCTGGTACAAAAATAAGGCCAAGGCGAAGAGCAGGGAGCACCACCCGGGCACCGTCTCCCCCTCCAGGCCCGGGCTGTAGCTCGTCACCAACAGCGACGCGAGACACGTCCCGGCGAGGCCGATGAAGGTCACGAGATTGGGCGCCATCCACACGGGGAGGAGCGTCACCGCCCAGTTCCAGAAGGGCGTGAGGAGGTTGTCGAGGTGCGTGTACGCGCCCGGTTTGTACTTGTACGCCGCGATCATGTCTAGATCTTGTTTCGACAGCATCTTCCCGTCGCCGTCTCGCTGGCCTCGCCACCGCCCAGTAGCCTTTGTTTCGCACATGGCACAACCGTTAGAGAACTATGGACTCTTGTCTGGCGTTCCGCGCTGATGTGATGCACAGCCAACGCACCGGGTACACGCACACGGGCTGCAGTGCCAGCTGCCAACACAACTTTTCCGAGAGCTCCACCAGCGGGGGGCTCCGCAGTTTATATAGCGGCGCAATCGATGTTGCACAGCAGGCCCAGGCCGGCTCGCCCCCTCTCTCTGTCGGATCGCAGATCGCACCAGCAGGAAAAAACGGGTGCTGTTGTACTGTGCCTCCACTGCCCAATCATGATGAACTGGGTCGGCTCTAAGACCACCAGGCTCGTGATCCTGTTGCTGCTGTCCCAGGGTTGTGTTCTCTGCTCGGGGTTCGTCCCAGGGGTGTCGCCGTCGGCCTCTCAGTACCTGGCGCATCACACCAAGTTCAGCCCCGACACGTCGACGACCAGCGCAGCAGGATACGACTCCCTCCGTGCCCTGGCCCTTGGAAGCAAGCGGAGTGGTACTACTGATGCCGTCACCAGCTCGCCGAGAAGGGGGCCAATGAGTCGGCTATCTATGTCGATGTCCCCATCTCCTCCGGTCAAGCCGCCGGTATGTACACCGCGGCAGTCGGCGGGCAAGTGTAGCAGTACGGCTGTACCTCGTCAGACCCAACTCGTGCTCGATGCAATCAAGAACAGGTGTACGCACAGGGCGTACCACGCACACCAACCTGATTTTGGGACGCCCGAAGCGACCGGCTGAAACGTAGGGGGCAGCTTTGCCAGGAGAGAGGAACAATATTGCATGTTCTCCTTGGTGTATTTAGCTGGAAAGCAAGGCTACAGAGCGTTCGGGCCTCCGGTAGAACTCATCCTGTTACTGCAAGGCATACCGGTACCGGACCTAGCCTGTGCACCTACTATCAGCAAGTATTTTCTCGCAAAGGGCAGTGTAAGGAGAGAGGCGTGAAGAGTTAGATCCCTCTATGTATGTACATGCCAACGAGTATTTTAACTTACAATTCTGCGAGTCCCGTTTTTTTTTCAAATTCCACGCGCTGTCTGGCGGCAGAATATTTTCATTAACTCCATCGGGGGACAAACGCGTGGATCGTCCGACCGCTCAACTCTTGAAGAACTCATCGATTCTAGCATGAGTGGGGAATGAGAGCGCCCCTTGTGCCCAGCCTCAACTTCTACACGTTTGCGTGTGTCAAACGAAGGATGCTCCAAGCGCACAAGTAATGCAGCAGAAATGGAAGAGACACAGGCTCAATGGCGGTGCCGCCTGCATGATGTGGGAGAGGAAAGGTTGCCGAGAAAAGCTTGTTGGGAGGCGAAGTGGGCTAAGAAGAGGGGGGGGTTACAACCCACGGAGTGGGCCCGAAGTTTCTGTAGATGACATGTGGAAGGACAGGAATATGGCTCAAGGAGTACCTACATTTCTGGACCAAATGGATGCAGGGACAACATTCGGTAAAATGCAGGAACTGGGGACATTTGGAGAACGTATGCATAGACGAATAGTTCGGAAAGTTGAGGAAGACGACAAGTTAAAGTATGAATGCGGCTCCGATTGAGAAAACCGAGTTTATGTAGTTACAGAATGCCGGTTTTATGAAAAGGAGAGCGAATCGTACATGACTCAGCTGGAAAAAGTTGACGGGAGTTACGCAGAGATTTATGATGCACGGATTCGCCAGGCGCTATACTGGAGCATCGGACGTGAGCTGAAAAGGCAGGAATTGATATCGGTAGGAAGTACTTGAAGTATAGGAAAGGTGAAAAAAACATGAGGGGCCGTTGACAACGTAGGAAGGGACGATTGGCCATCGGTGATCGATCCTATCGGAACAATGCTCCGTCCTCTCGAGGACGCGTTGTCCAACAGCTGAGTCATGCGAAACATACGAGTCCTCCTCGACCCCCCCCATGTACATGCACACGGTGTCGATCATCCCACTCAGCCCAAGAAACGCACGGGCGGCGGGGGGAATGGGGACGAGTTGTTCGTGCGTGAGCTGATCGAACCGGAGAAGAGCGTAATTCTTACGAGCTGGAGAGACTACGCCCAGCGGGACGGCGGGGAAAAGTTCGCCGAGTGCATCGAGATCCTCAACAAGATGGTGAGAACAAGGAGAATGACGGCTGGCTCGATGAACAGGGTGTGTGGGTAGGCATAGAAGGCCGATTTGGTTACAAGCAGCCGTGTTGTAGAGGGGCAGACAATACGGTTGAGAAAACCTCGTGTTCAGAGGTGCAAATCGTGGGGAACGGAACGAGACGGTTGGGATCGTCTCGTAAGTATCATAGGTACGGGTCACTTGATGCTGTGGATCCACGATTGTGCAGAAATGGGACGCTGTCTGAATTCTAGGTGAGACAGAGGTCTGAACGAAAGATGCACATCCATCTCTCAGGGGGCACGCTCTCGGGGGGCACGCAGATTAGTCATGATGTGGGATAGACCCTTAGAAGTATACCTCCCAACCATCTCGCATCCTACGCTCTATATGGGACACCCTAACCATGCTAGAACTCCTGAAAGCAAGCACTACTACTCGTAGAAATGCATGGCCGTGTCTGGCGTTTTCGTGTTTGTTACATTGTTCGCTTCCTTTTGCTTGAACGAGTGTCGTTTTGTGCTGCACCTCTCAGGTTGCGTGGAGATCAGGGGTGGTTGCGGCACGCAAACGACGATTCACCCTAGCGTGCTGCAAGGGCTCGAGCGTTCAAGCCGTGGCTTGCGTGCAAATTGGACCGAAAAATGAATCCGTGCGGAGTTTTCTGGCCCAAGAGGCGTGCATGTCGGTGTGCCTCTTAAACGTCGACCCGTCAAGTCCTAAGTTTAAGGCTGGGGCTCACCTGTGTAGAGAGGTGAGTGAGAACCAGACAGACAGACGTTTAAGTTTTTTTCGTGCGGCAGATCCTGTCAAAGGCGAACACCGAGAACGAGGGTGATAGCGTTCCTCTTGTGCTGCAGAATGCCCTGAGCGTATCTTCATGTGTCCACCTGGGGCAGAAAATGCGAGGCTGTCAACGAACCCCTCTTGTGGATTTTTGTCGCTAGGGTTCCTAGAAGGTTTCTAACATGATATGTGTGGCGTAGGTGCAATGTCCCTTGAGTGTCAACCGTCATACACGCATTTGTCCGGCATCTCCCCAGGCTTGTTTTCTGTCAAGTTCATGTCATATGTTGCCCCGCCTGCTCTCGCAAACTAACGCGCCGTTCGCGCCCTAACCAACCAATGCGCATCTTCCAGATCAAGGAGATTGGGAAGTTGGAGAACATGGCGGTATCGTTCGATCCGATCAAAGATATTTACTCCGGGCGCTTTTATGCTGCAACTCTCGCCATGTAGATGTGGGCGAAGGCTTGAACGAGCTTATTTGGCCGCCCCACCCCACCCCCACGTGGTACACCGGTGAAGTGCGGCGGTTCGACGGTTGGTCGATCACCTCCCCCACACGTGGTGACGCTACGCGGGACACGGGGTTGTATGCAGGGACGTGAAATTGGTGGCAACCTACCACCACAGAGGGTTCCCCTTGTTCCTGTGGTTCTTGTTTTTTGGCTTGAGTAAAAGCCGTGCCTCACAAGTGTGGGAAACAAGAGCAGCCATTCGCATCGAGCACAACCAGCGTTGGATGGCTTGGCTATATATGAATGCACATAGCCCGCGTATCGTACGGCTTGTCCATGGATGGCGGCTACCGGGCCAACCGTGTGTCCCGACCATGCTAGACGGCAGCCGTCGTTGTGTAACGCCTGTGTTTGGTTAGTGAAAAGGGATCCCGCGGCGGATGATAGAACCGCCGTGTGATCCCACCCTTTTGAGCTTCTCGAGCTGTGCCACACTGCCCTTTGACTGTTGTTGGTCGTGCGCTTCTGCTGGTGTTCGCTTGCCTACAAGACGTTGGTTTTTCACCAGAGCAGGTTGATCACACGTACAATGTAGCTGTTTGGATGTACTTTTAATCTGGGACTAGGCGGAGGTAATGGCCCGGCAAGCCTGGTGTCCTCGCATGTGTAACTCGGAGTCGCATGTGTAAATCGGAATTCGTGCATCGCATGACTTGTCTTGCTGAAGTATCTGCCGTCTAGGGTGATGTTTTTTTTTGGTCGAATGTTAAATGTGTATGATGAGTTGTTGCTGGAGTTGTGTGGGTCAATAGTCAGACGGGACGCTCCTGTCGAAACATGTCACGTTGTGTGTCGGTAATAGCCTGCGCGAAATTTGTGTCTTGGGCGACGAGCAGCGTGTGTGTGATGTAGAGGGCGGTGGACACAAGAGGGCATGAACGAACTCAAGCGTTGTACCATGCGCGAAGGGATACGACGCGGGGTACTTTTAAGTAGTAGGGGCCGCGTTCGGCTGTTTGTTCACCGAACAACTTCAAGTTTTGTTGTCATATTTGAAAGCATGAAAACCAACCAAAAACATGTTCCTGGTTTGTTTCCGACGTATCCAAGGTTTGACATGCATGGGCTAAAGCCCTTTTTGGCGCAGGACCCCCTCTTGTTCATACAACGGAAATTCTGCCTACTGCTTGCAACTGACCCAACCCTAACACCATGGGTGTCAAGTCGGCTCAGGATGGTGAAAACGAAAACAAGATACGTCGACCATGGTGCCACCCATGATAGACCATTTGTGGTAGGCACAGCCATAAGGTTTCCTGCCCGCTGTGCAGACACTTTCTAGCCGTACCCTATTCGAATGCAGGTGTATCGGAATATCCGTGGGTGAGTCGGGAACATGAAACCCGTACGTTTAGCCACAAGGAGCTACAGTGATACCGGCTATGCGACCGGCCTAATCCTAGGACGACTGTTCATCCCCCGACGTCCTCGCGGGCGGTACATAGAATAAGTCCAGCGGCACTGGCAGCTTTTCCGGTTCTCCGGCATTGAGTGAGAAATTCACAGACAGCCCGTCCACGGGGATAATATCCTGGTCGAAGAAGATAACTCATAGCACGTTTGACCAAACATGACGAACCCTGCGCGGTGTTGGGTACAACACTGCGTTTGTCGTCATCGAAGAAGAGTTGAGAAAAGCTCGCCGAGACCTGCTTCTCTGCAGTGCTTCGCGAGGACCGACACTCGTTCTTTTTCCCCAAGTTCGATGAGGAGAGCAGGCAAGAGGCGTTCCTGATCCAAAGCTCGTCCGTTCGGGACTCGGACTTTTTCTTCTCCGCGAACTGCTAGGTGCTTCCAACGCCAACCGCGCAGGGTGCTAACAAACTCTTCGCAGGATCCCTCTTCGCCTTCAACCACGATCACGCCAGGCCAGCCCACCTTTTTCGATGAGCGGTACAAGTTGAAGTGATCAAACGAGGTGTTGAATCAGCACCCACTAAGTTTGAAGTAATACTTACGTGCGCGTCCGAAATGAAAGACTTTTCCGGGGAACGGAAACAAAGAACGAAAAATAGGAGGTACATAGAGAGCAAACAAAAGCAGGCCATTGCTTGTAGGCAAATGTACCCCGTTCGTCTTGTACCTGCACAACTTATTGGAGTAACTGCAACCCGTTAGCCGGAATTCACTTCGTCGCACAAACCCATTACACGTGCTCACGAGGTGATCCATGTTTCCAGCCACATCCACCTAGATGCACAGCCAATGAAACGCCGTTTGGTGCTAGCGCCGAAAACCCTACCTTGCTGAAACCCCCAAGCCTGAGATCTCTCGCCGCCTTGATGATCCCTGCCCTCTTCTGCGTTGCAATGATGTGGTGAGAATATATCAAGCGCCTGCCAAGGAAAACAGGTTCTCCTTCAGGCTGCGCTGACTTCGATATAACGCTCTTCGTTGCGCCAACGCTGTTGGTAAGATGAGAGACGTCCCGTTCTTCTCCTTCCGATGAGCACGTGTACGGCAAGCAAGGGGCTGTGCTGCTGGTCATACCGCCGCCGCCGCATCCCGAGATTTCGTCGCACCCTCCTGCTTGTGAAGCTTGCCCCGCGGTCGACTCGCGACCAGCCAAATCAGCCGATGTCTGCATCGCCGCCCCGAGCACCTCGAGGCACTGTGGCTCTCTTCTCCTGTCCCGCGACAGCCTAGTCGCCTTGTCTGTAACGGCATCTGTTATTGCCTTCCTCGCCGACACCGTGAGCTGCGGCGTTCCCTCAATCGTGACAAGGAGGAGAGTGTCAGGGTAGTCGTGCGGCAGCCGAACTCTAAGCTGGGCTTCTTTGAGTGGAAGGGTGCAGCGGAAAGATAGCAGAGGAGTGTCGGCCAGGGCTTCTTTCAGCCGGGTTTCTTCGGCTTTTTGGTCAGATGTATGTTGCCTCTCAAACGACCCATCAAGGGCCGCGCGCAGGAGTGGGCGAGCGTCCGGCGTGTCGAACGTCAACTCAGGATACGCCGTCTCCAGTAGTTCCATCTGGCCCAACAATCGTCGTAGGATGTGGTGAGAGCTCGCGAGGAATGAAAATGGGTTTACATAGGTCAGTGTCGGGTGGCAATCAATTATCGCGCCACGTGCGGTCGCATTGACAAACCTCGCCCATGCACGCGCGCATATGCAGGTAAAAAATCTACTACAGCAGTACGTACCGTAGTACAGGGTACCGTTTCAATGTACTCGCTATGAGTTCTAGCTCATGACTGCTGCCTGTGAAACATCATGCATATTCTTTAATATACGGTCAAACCTCGTCGAGTTGCATTGTGAGAGCCTCGTGCAGTGACAGTTTTTCCCCAACTTCCCCCATGTTATCACCAATTGCACCCGAGGCGCCCGATCACAGGATGCGAGATGCCCAGCAGGTAGGATCAGGCGCAGCGGCGCAGCACACAAGGGGCGGTCATGACGTCATTACCGTGGGGCTGGTCTTTTCTGCTGTCATCCGCGGAACCCCCGTTATTTCGCCGCTTGGTCGGTGCGAGAGTGCGGTGCAATGGTGGACTGCTGTGCAGCAAAGCAAAGCGGTGGTGGCTGTGTGGGCTGTGCACCTGTTTGAGCTGTTGGAATTTTGTGTATGGAGCCATGAATACGGTGCAGCGGATTGTGCCTCATCCAATCCACGCTCTAGTGTTCTTCGGTTGGGTATTAGCCGTACAGTTGACAGGCCTCGCGGCTTTCACCAAGGGCTTCTTCCTCACCCGCGTGGAGCTGGAACGTCAATCGCAGTGTGATGTGAGCCAACGCACGGCATTGGCTGGACTTGTACAGCGCAGCAGAGCTGTCTTTCTGTTTCATGCTATTACTGCTGCTTGCTCATCACAGAGACTTTTGCCGACGTCGCCATTGTTGAATTGTTCAAATCGGTGTTGCATGTCTGTCTCCGCCCGCCGAGGTTTTGTTCTTCCAGATCGCGTGTTGCTGTGGGTTGCTTACCCTCAAAGCGAAGCTGTTGCTTGTTACACTGCAATTCTTGCAGGCGGTGTTGCAACACTCGTGCGTGCTCTTCGTGAGAATAATATGTAAAAGACAATACCTGCTGATAGGTAGCTGCGGAACACTAACACGGGTGCATGGAAAAGGACCCGCCGTTAGACTATTTCTTTCCTTTCACGCCACGGAAATATCCGAAGACGGCGCCGCCGGTACTTTCAGTCAACTTCCGTTGTATCTGCTGGCTTTGAACAGGGTGCTACTACGAAGGAGGTTCTAGACCGCATCCTCCAATAGCTGTCGCTGAACAGCAGTAGTGATTTTCCAAACAAACTGCTATAGCCTAAGGTATCGCGGGCTGTTGTGCGTGCTTGATCTACACGGCCTCCGAACACCGGCTGGTTCCAAGCATTTTGACAAGGGAATCGACCCCGTCAAGTGGCAGATCAGTACGAACAGATTATGGTGCTGCTGTGCAGAGAGATTGTGAAGATCTTTTGCATGTGAAGACACCAACAGCAGCAGCATCGACTGAAGAAGGTGGACCGCACCGCAACGTCCAAACGTCTGGTCAACGGTTCCGTTGGGAGAAGTGGTTGCGTCGCCGAGCTAGAGTGCTGTTCCGCTCGCTGTGTGCAATTACGCCGCCGCTACCGACTGCCGTTTGGAGAGGGTTTGCGTCGATTTGTTAGTGACCCCTGCGGACCAATGACGAGCGATGTGAGGGCGAACCAAAATTCCAGACGGTAACATGAAGCTCTGTGGTTGTTTTCTGCAACGTGGCGAAGTATTGGGTGATCTACATGAAAAATTGTCACTTCTACTGGGATAACAGCGCGCCGAACGTGTCGAAGGGTGCCGAAAGACAGGGTTTTGGCAACAGAATGAGATTGGGATGGCCCGCAATTGTTGCAAACAAAAGCACGGCGTACCAACTGCTTGCGGGCGTAGATTTTGGACATATGGGGCGGGGCAACACACACAAGATACAGCCCCAGAAAGAGCGCGATTTTTTGTTTTTTTGTCAGTCTCCGCACCCCATCCGCGGCGCTTACCTTACATGACTTTCATCGCGAAAAGCGTGCGTCAATCATTCTTGTCAATTTTTTCAACTTGGATCCAGCGACCGATACCTTGGCCAACAAGATCCCCCTTGCCCCGTCCCTTGGGCAAAACAATACCACTAAACAACTCCTCTCTCGACCCCCCCCCCCCCCCCCCCCCCCCCCCCCCCCCCCCCCCCCCCCCCCCCCCC